GTGTATGACTATATAAAACGCCGCAACGCGAAGGGTGAAGAGGCGGGGGGGGGGAGGGAAGGGCGAGATAATTGCAAAATCGATAGCTGCTCGCGGCGCGCGCGATGCAAGTGGGACGACGGTGGCGAACGGATTGCCGTCCGCGTGCTGACCGCGGCTGAAACCATCAACATCATCCCCATTGGCCGTCGCGCGCAACAATGTGTGTGCGCGCCGTAACTTAATTTTATTCAGCGCGCCCCTAAACGGATCCCGGGCTCTGTGACGGATTCCGTGTCGGTCGCGCCGCTTGCGCCACCGCGACTTGCTATCTCAATGGGGGGCCCCGAGACGACGGCGGCGGCAGCGGCGGCGGCGGCGGGCCGGGCGGGCGAAGGAGGTAAGACCTCTTTCCGCTAATTGAATATCCGGTGTCGGATATGTAGACATCGAGGAAGGAGGGAGAAGGTGGGGAGGGGGAGTAGTGGGAGGTCGTATGTTCTCTCCGCGACAAATTGCGGTGTCGCGATACGCGTTGCGAATTGGCATAATTAGCGGCGGACGAGCAGCGAGTGAGAGACGTGGAGGCCCCGACGACGGAGTTTGCACCAGGTGGAAACCGCAACTGCGCTGAGAAAAAAAAGTTTAAATAACTAAATGCGTTTTGTTGACAGTTTCTCTTCGATTCAATTACATATGTTTTTGAATTAAACATATACGTATCAATAACATGAATCATGATCCTTTGAATCATCATTAACCTTTGAACCCCACCACGCCTAAAAAAAATCACACTAACCACAATGTCGGTCTCACAGACCGCTATTATGCTCCCGCTAATTTTATAAGTTAATTATAATAAAAATGTATGTTTTCTGAATATATGTTGATGGGGGAAAGAAAAACTATGCTTTAATGTAAGAGTTAACAAAAAAATCTCGTATACAATAAAAATAAAATATATTTAAATGGTGACAAATAAGAAAATTGTTGACAAGTGACATTTTAATAGCGGTCTGTGAGACCGATATAGTGGTTTGAAGGTCAACATGATTTTATTCTTGTGAATTAACAAGTATTTTGTTGAATTAACAAATGTTTGCTTGACAGCCAGTGACCGCCGCATTTAGTTGAATGAAATAATATTTTTTTAAATCAACCTTTTTTTCTCAGTATGCGACACTCTCTCTCTCTCTCTCTCTCTCTCTCTCTCTCGCAATTGTTTCAACGATAACATTTACCTGTAAAATTAATCTATAACCACGCTTGCCTTAATTAAGAGAACAAAAGTTTCTTTACTTCAAAACTCGCGTCGCGCGCAGCACAATAACGCAACGACATCATCGCGCGTTTCTTCCTTTCATCCGTTCGTTTCCCCTCCACAAAAGAAAAATACGATAACGTTATCCCGCAATCCCGCGATCGT